ATAGTATTACTACAGTGTTACTACAGTAATGTTGTTTTTTATTTAGTGGATTTTGTTTCAACACCAATACAGTACTGAATACTGTCATTCCTGATGATGACATAATTAATGTCGAAATATTGAATCCCAACACGATGGCGTGTATTTCAATACTTGGAATATGTATTATACTTTCTTGAATACTGTTATTGTATAATTGTTTTGTATAACTTTTAGTCTCTCTTAGTTTAGTTGTTTTTTCTTTCTCATTGAACGCACCGAAATGTTGTGTGCCACTGAAACAAAAGTGTATGTTCAGTTGAATAAATAAATAAATATATTTGTTAAAGACATGCTCCTGTCATTTAAAAATGGTCAATATAAATTAACAAAATGTTACTAGATCTTCATAGATAGTTATATTTTAACTTACTGTATTTATGTACATTTCTGATAAAAAGTTTTTAAAACTCATTTGACAGTTAACATCTTTTTTTTAACAAAATGTTACTACTAGGTCCTATTCTTCCCGCTCCTTTTTCAGGGGCTATTTATACCTACATTACCCCCGTATCAGGAGTCGTCTATTACACAAACATCAGGCAAATTCTGGAACAGTCCACCCATTCTCTCACTCGCAGACACAGTTCTAGCTTTGTGGTACTGGGGCGGATTTAGAGGGGGCCGAGCAGGCGTTCCCCCCCCCCCCACGTACCTTTTAAAAAGTAAAAAAAAACCAAAAAACAAAAACAAAAAGAAATAATTGATCGCCCAATACGCTTCAGAGGTTATTTTCGGCCGTTTAGACCGAGGGTAGTGTTGTCTCGATCGGCCCCTTTCAGCCCCCTTTCGCCCAGCCCCCTCCCCCATCCTTCGGACATTTCTGGGTGCGCCTCTGTGGTAATCTGTTTTTATGATGTTGTTAGTAGTAAAATATGGATTATTCTTGACCCCTACCGCTCCACAATCTCGCGCACAGTACTAACCTTGTCTGTTCTATTTTTTTTACCGGTACGGTTGTTAAAGTAGTCGAATATGTCTTGAGCCCATACTGGGATAGTCAAATTGCAGAAAGGTTCATCCTCCCTAGAGTAATCTTCTGAGATTTCGAAGATGGTTAGCTTTTTACATTTCGCTTTGACACTATTGGCGTTGCAATCATTTGCCGACAGCATACATTTTGAGATTTGACCTGAAAAATGATTGGTTAAAAAAGTCAGTCAGTAGCAATAGAATATTATATATAAAATAATATATAAAAACCGCATTAACTTATTACATATTCATTAACATGCTCGTCTTTGGGTGATCTTATAATATCAGCCAGGTGATGAACGAGGAATGGTTTGACAGAGATTGTTATTTAACGCCAGGGCTCAGATTTTTGGCACACGACATTTCAGTCTTAAATGGATAGGGGGAGGGGGCGATCCAGGATTTTTTATTAACGGGGAGGGCTGAACATTCAAGTACTTGAATTAGGCTTGGCGTAGATTCCATGATGTACGGTGGCTGGGGTTGGGGGAGGTAGCTTGCAATGACCCACTTAGGATGGGGGTGCCTAGGGTTCACGCATTTCATTGTCTTTAGATGACCAAAGTCGATTATTGAGGAAAAAATCTGACGAAAATAATGTTGGAAAAATGAGAAAAAACGACATTTACATAAAATTACTTAATCAAGCTCAATGTAAGTTTTAACCACACTGTGGCAGATATATATGTTAATTGTTGGTATTTTTGATCCACTTCATTTAAAATGAAAGAGAAAAAAAAACCTCACACAAACATTCATAAAGTGTATATTAGGCCTATGTTTTTGTGAACTGACCCACTGAGATCTATGACCAACTCATATACCCCCCACCCCCGGAATCCTCTTTAGATTGACTTGACGCATATCAAAATTAGGAAAACAGGTCAACGAAAGTGTGTACACCACCGATGGTGTATTTTGGGAACGAAGTTCCGTCAATGTTTTTATTTTAATATTTGAACAATAACTTTCAAAGTTCTCTGTTACTTGTCTGAGTATACTTTACTAGGCCTAATCATTTTTTTTAATAGTGCTGATATAATAGTGATTTATTCATTAAGATAATATCGGACAAAAATCTGTTATGAAGCAATAAAACGTAATTTTTAACCCACTCAACACACTACGACAATTGGTGGTCGACCTAAAGACCGTAAAAACGAGATGGTAATTATACCCGTCTATTATAATCTTGTGACTGAACGTTGTTAGTGTTATCTGTTAAAGCTTACCTCCAGGGGAAATATGGTGTGTTGTAGGCCTACAATGAATGTTTTAAGACAATGTTTGAAGGTATATATTTGAAAAATATTAATACAGTACTTTTGAATGGTAGTAATAACACTTTCCCCATATGCCTTGAAATTAGTCAATTATACGTCAGCATATCATTTTTTGTTTTTAGCATTAAATCGCAATTCTTGGAGCATCGTTCCAATACCACTTTGCCCGAACTTTCGAAACGTGTTGAAAAGGTCAAATGAGATAAACTTTTCACCAGTATCATAACACACAGTAAATAGACCTAAAGAAGCTCGATCCGTGTGCTAAAAAACAATCATCATTAACTTTAAACGTAGGTTTTGTAAGATTATGTATATAAGTAGGTTATCTTTTTATTATATGTAGCCCTATGTTATGTCACAACTTTATATAAATGTATGTATTGAGACATACTCCATCGAAATGCACTTTATCGTGTCGGGATTCAATATTTCGACATTCATCATGTCATCAGGAGCTTTGAAGGACAAATGTAATTTCCGTGAGGACAAATAAACTTGATTCTGCTTCTGTCTCTGATATTTTTATACAAGCTTTTATCTTCATGACAGGCTACTTACATTCAAAATTTAAACCATAAAGTCAATAGGATATTTTTTAAGTATTAGGCCTATGTGCTATTTCCGGGCATCAGGAAATAAAAAAACAAAACAAAACAAAACAAAACAAAAAAACAACATATATTTCGGTAGTTATCTACCATCAATATTTTTATTGGTCAATTTCACTGGTCACATACTCTACTATATTCATAATTATAACACACCTAAATAGATCCTTATCATTTGATTAATGGATTTTGTAAACCGTGACATTGGTTATTTACACCATTTTGTCAATATTATGAAAATTTAGTTCCACTCTAGATTTTTAGTTTCATCCGTACATTATTTTTGTGAGAAGTATAGTGCAGGCATTGGTTCGTATGTGTTTGTTTTCTGTTGGCCATATGTTGATGGCCTATAGGAAAAAATTAAGAGGACTCTAAGAAAATTACGAAATAACGGGATATTACAAGACGACGAACAAACTACATAGTTTGGTCAACCCCAAGGACATTTCATAGATGAAGTGCGCGGGGGAATCTGTTCGGTTGAATGTCAAAATTGCCAAGCTGTGTACATCGGAGAAACAGGAAGACCATTTAAAATCAGACTCAATGAACATAAAAAAGACGTAGAAAACAACGTACCTACCAGATCATCCAGAAAATCTACATCAACTACTTTCAATAAATCTGCTATTACAGACCACATGAATAATTACAACCACCAACTAGATTGGAAATCTAGCACAATTAAAGAAAGAGTGTCATCATAATTTAAAAGAAATATAAAAGAATCTATGGATACGAAAAACTAAGGACAACGGTGACGAGGGTGTATCAATTGCCATCTACAACAGCCTTCTCTTGAAACCCAAAAGTAAGGGGCGAGGTACATTCTACTTCATACATTGGTGGCGCCAGTCTCAAAACAACTGGACTGAAGGAAATAGCAACACCAAGCAACAACCAAGCCACAATCGTAATGAAGATGCTAATAATCTGTTGTTTTATGTCATATTTTTTAACTTTGTCATTTTTTGGGTAGATTCTTGGCAAACATGTCTAAAAATATCTAAAAAAATCACTGATTAAGAAAAAAAATGGGTGCCAGTTTTTTTTTATTCACTTCTGGGCCTCCATTTTGAATTTCAAAATGTCCGCTGCCGAAAATTAGTTTTTAACAAAAACAAAATTGCAAATTGACCATCTTTATTCATTTATATATCATACAATAGTCATTTTATTTTATCTGATATCATATAATGGGATTAGTGATGCATTCGGAAGAAAATAAGAGCACAAGAAAAAACCTCCACTCCCAGAAATCTTGCTCCTCCACACACTTCCCGCTGGATATTCTTTTGCAAAAAAAGTTATTCTCAAGTATTCACAAAATCGCCACATATTACCATATTTTGCCATCTGAATCTCCCTAAACTTAATCACTGAGCACTGGCACTTAACCTTCGCCCCTTAAATCCCCCTGCCATACCACGACGTCCCGGGCCAGGCCCCACTCCAAACTTTTTAGAAAATTTATAAATGGAGATAAAAGAGGAAAGTTATATTGAAATTTAGGCCTAGGACTGTGAGTGCCATCTAGTTGCCATAACCACAACATTTTGTTCCTCGGTTTCCACAATTTTTGGAGAAGGGCAGATTTAGGGAGGGGAACGTTCCCCCTGTTTTGCCGCTGTCGTCTTTTTTTTAAAGTGAAAATACAAAATCGCATACAAATACTAAGTGTAACAGCATTTACTGAACATCAATCATGCCATTACTAAACATATATGTGTATAATAATGATAAACACTAGCAGTCTGACAAAAGTAATGCTGCAGCATTCTAATTCAAAAACTCAGCTCATGTGTTCAATTTAGAAAAAAAGTTCAATTAAAAGTATTTTGCAACTGATAGCAATGTATGTTTCTTAAATTTTGACATTTTGACCCACAAATTCTACTCTTAAAGATGCGGTGCTCTACAAAATATTTTAAAGGCACTGCAGTTGAGTAATTTGTTGAAAATTTTGTCAAGAATGATCCATGTGGTATTTAAAGTTAAAACTAACTGCAGGGTGCAAAACACAGATTTTAGCTGAGCAAAACCATCTCAGCCTTTTTTGACTGAGACAGTGCTGCAGTAGTGGCCTTCCTCGGTTTGTTTGATTGTGGTGTGTAAAAATTACCTCCTAAATTAGGAGTATATCGGAGTGAAAAGAAGGGCTACCAGTTTGCAGTGTTTGTTGATATGTTCCATTATTTGACAGACTTTCATGTTGAGATCAGTAATGGATTGTAGTAGAAACCACTAACTGAGTGATGTTAACATATCTGCCTAAGTTGATGTTGCACTTAATACTCTCCATAATGTCACCTTGTCCTCAGCAAACCAAAAACTCTCAGATCTGATCTGATCTGATCTTCCAGTTAAGAATTGCTTCGTTAACAGGGGACTCAAGATTAGGTACTACGATATTTTGGCATCATACGGGGTCATATCCTAACACTTCTTCATGTTCTTGAAGAGCCATGGAGCAAATCAGCAAACAACATAAATGAGAGGAGGTCCCTGGTTTTAAGATTAAGAGCATTAGCTGCCAAGGAAGATCTCCTATGATGACTCCAAGATCAAACTAACGAACAATTGAGTTTTATCACAGCAATTCACATGAACGATGCTGCTGTTTCCCATAAACTCTCCATTTGGTGGAAAAAAGTAATTACAAAAATGCTCCAGTGATGCCAGGTAGATGTACCATAACTTTAGAAACTGAAACAGCGTTATCACCCCTCGCATGTAGCTATCTGCTCCATTTATAAATGTATAATTAATCAGTTGGTACATAGCAATAATTCACATATTTTTGGTGGGATGGGGGAGGGACAACATTTCCGTGTGTATCACTGACTGAATTGAATTGAAAGTTAGCCTTTTAGGCTTTTTGAGCATTTGAGTAGTCATCAGTAATATGACAGTTTATCTCCAATTATATATCATTTATATAATTTGTGTATACAGTATATGGATTTTTTCTCCCTCTTTTTATATATATTGTGTATACATATAATACATATATAGATATGAAAATGATAAACAGATGAGGGTGATTCATAATGATCTGTCTTACTTGCGGTACATCAAGAACCAATGGCGGATCCAGGAATTTGAAATAGAGGGGGGCCTGGAGAGGGACTTTCACAGGTGGAAGTACTATACTTCCTCACCTGCTTTAATCAGATTTGAATTTCCAAACGGTGTAATAATGACCCAGTTTGTCACTTATCGTTTAAAATTTATATATACAATAATATTAAGTAGATCCC